GTATGGTAAAGTGAGCCTATGTTCACTTCAGATGTCCAATCCTATTTTTTCTCAAAGCCCTACAAAGTGTGAGCTGGCATATTTGGTCAGTGGGAAAATATTAGATTTTCTGTGTAAAAATGTTTTGTCACAGGGTAAGGGGAGTAAAACTGCTGAAGATATGAAATTTACTTAGAGTTGACCATTCCTACAGCAGCCTCCCATACATTACAAGGTAAGCCACTATGACAGGCAAAGCTTTGGCACATTAGAAAAGTGTTGAAGCTTACCATTAAGCCCCACCACCACCACACATTGCCACTGACCCACCACTATAATGGCATCCTCAGTAGGCAATAAGAATAAACAGAAGGCAAGAAGGGGTGGGCAGGCATCAGCGCTATGAGGAAGCCCTCTCCTTTACTCTGGTGCACTAGGCCAGGGGTGGGCAAACTGCGGCTCTCCAGCTGTTGTGGAACTACATTTCCCATGAGGGATTGCAACGTTACAAAACTGTCAGTTACAGCTATGACTTACAGAGGCATGATGGAACTTATAGTTCTGCAACAGCTGGAGAGCCGCAGTTTGCCTAACCCTGCACTAGACAATCCTGAATTGTAATTTTACATTCAATGATATAACCCACTCTAAACATTGCAGGCATTTTAGACAATTGTGCACTTCCAAATTTGTGGTAAGAGTTTGGAGAAGGCCCTTTCCTGTTTCAGCTTGATGGTGCCCTGTGTACATAGTCAGTCCCATGGTTTGGTTTAATAAATGTGGTGTGGAGGAACTTGAGTAGCCTTCAGAGAATCCTGACCTCAACCACACTGAACACCTTAGGGATAAATTGGTACACTGATTACAAGCCAGATCTTCCCATCTAAAACCAGTATCTGACCTTTAAATGGTCTTTTGGATGAATAGGCACACATTTCTGCAGATACACTCCAAAATATTGTGGAAAAAATTTCTAGATAAGTGGAGGTTGTCGTAGCACCAAGGGAAAAGTTAGTAATGCCCATTGTCTAAGAAAGAGATGTCCAACAAGTGATATCAAATGTCCATCGACCACTGGCCACATAGTGAACAACAGGTAAAATCAAATTGCTTTCTATGGGCAACATTGCTGTTTTTTTCCTAAGGTTACAATAATCTAAACTATTGTGTAAGAGAAAAATGTTTAACAAATGTCCTGATCTGATGAATGACAAACACTTCAGGAATGGCTCCATCACCAGTAATCACTGCAATTATAAGCACTGTATATAACATAGATTAGGCTAACTATAACTTATAAAGTACAATATAAACCATTATAACGCTGAGTCTTTATTAGATAAAATAGTCACATTATTACAAGTTATGCTAACTGCACATGGAATGTAAGAAATGTTACTACTTATGACCTTGGGTTATATTTGATAATGTGTTTCTTACTATTGTTGTATTCTAAACTATTTTAAGTAGACACAAATGAAAATGTTTTATCGTTCCTAAGAAAGCAGAGAAAGTACTGAAAAAACAAGATAATAATCTGATTGCTATTCCTGAGCTGTTAAAATGTAAACTTTTTTTTTCAGCGCTCAGTGCAATGTATTTCTATTTAAAGAGGCTTTTCAGGATAAAAAAATGCAAGCATCTAGTATGTATAAACTACAGTAATACCTCGCTTTACAAACGCTTCGGTTAATGTAATTTTTGGTTTACGAATGGAAATCCATTGAAAATAATGCCTCGGTTTACACATTTTTTATGAATTTTTTTCACAGGACGAAGTGTATGTCAGTGCTTATTTCACTTTTCAACAAATTTTTATTTTTTGCCAGTTTTGGAAACAAAAGGATCCATTTCTTAATGAATTTCACATTCTGAGTTCAAATATAACAATGAAATTTGTCAATTGGCTCTAGTTTTTTCTGTAAACGGAAAGTTTTCTACTATAGGCGTAATGACTACATAATGCACAATAATTATATAGATAGATGTCTTTCCACAAATATGAAGCAAGTGATAGTGACTACATAACAAAGCCTAAATGGCATAATATATTGCATAGGATTACCAAGAAAAATTATAGCCATAAGCTAAGTTGAATCATTTTAATACTTAGGATTCTCACTAGTTTTGTCTTCAGTTTGTGTCGGTTTTGCTTCTCTTGGCTTTTCTCTTGTATTCGAGGAAAGGGCTATCTCTTACAACTGCACGTGACTACACACTTCAGGTTCTTCCTCACTTGACTCAACCACGAAGGATTCTGGTGCTTTAGGAATTGGTAGCCCCTCTCCATGAGGAATTGGACGTATTGCCGATGGAATATTTGGATAGTGCACAGATAACTTTTTCTTCTTATTTAGCCCTTTTACAATTGGAGGCACCATACAAAAGTAACAATTACTAATATGATCTGTTGGCTCTCTCCAAATCATTGGCACAGCGAAAGGCATAGATGCCTTTTTTCCATTCAATCATTGCTCCAGTGCTGTCCCACAAGAATTGCAGCATATATGTGGTTCCCAGCTCTTGTCCTGGTTTCCTATCTTGCAGCCAAAATACAAGTTGTAGGCTTTCTTAATCATTCCTGTTATCCTCCTTTTTTGTGAGATAAAAGTTATTTCACCGCAGATATAGCAGAAATTATCTGCTTTATTCACACAAGTTCGAGGCATTACTGAGTAGCCTATAAAAGCATAAAATGAAATGTAAAGACGCTGTCCAACTACAATCAGCTACAGATACTGCAGCTTTTATGCAGTGAAGTGATGCAATTAAAGGCTAATATTGCATCATCTCAGTATACATGCAATTTTCTATTGGTCACCAGTATCAATTGCGCAATATGCAGTTGAAGTTGCATCATAATTTTGAATGGCTTACGTCATTAGATGGGTGAATATATCATGGAAACTAGAGCCAATCAACATTTTTTAGGGTCATTTTCGTTTTCAGCACCCCAAAATTATGTAAGATTAGCTAATTTTATGCCCAAAACTTTTTACCTGTTGAACAGTTTTTAAATGCAATTGCTGGCCTTTTTTTTTTCTTCTCTATAGCTCGCAGAATTAGCTGTCACTTTCCCTGGAGTTAACAGAAACTTTGTTTATTTTAAGAAACTAAAAGGAAACATTGGTTCTCTTAACTCAGGAAAATAAACTAAAAAAAAATTTCTTTCTTTTAGCTGGGGGGAAAGTGACAGTTGAATTTCTGAGCTATAGTGAAGAAAAAAAAGCAGTAAATACATTTAAAAACCGGCACCATAATAAATTTAAAAACAGCGTGGAGTCCACCCTCCCATCCATACCAAGCCCTTCGGGTCTGGTATGGATTTTGAGGGGAACTCCCACGACAAAATGTGAAAAAAAAAATGGCGTGGGGGTCCATCCCAAATTCATACCAGACCCTTATCCAAGCATGCAGCCCAGCAGGTCAGGAAAGGGGGGGGGGGGCACATGCCCTCAACATGGGGGGGTGCTTTGGGGCGGGGGCTTCCAGCCTTTTGCCTGCTCCGGTGGTTTGATAGTTCTTAAATATATAAGGGGCAGGGCCACCCGGGGACATCACGCATGTGACCCCACCCCAATGATGTCACATGGGGCGGGGTCACTCGGGTGATGTCCCTGGGTGGCAACGCCGCATACATATTTAAGAACTGTCAAATCACCAGAGTAGGCAGAAGGCTGAAAGCCATCGTCGGAAGCAGAGCCTTTTTTAAAATTCTTTTTGCGGCGATGGCAGGCATCGTGATTGATGTTGGATCTACTGTGGGGGACATTCTTTCAGTTTTTTCTTTTAATAAAGAACTTGTCAAAGACCGGGCCCTGTCTTTTTTCACACTACACTTTTTGTTTTTGGTAAATACTCATTCACATGGGGGGGGGGGGCTGGGATCTGGGGGCCCTTGTTAAAGGGGGCTTCCAGATTCTGATAAGCCCCCTGCCCGTAGACCGCTACAACCACTGGCCAGGGTTGTGGAAAAGAGGCCCTTGTCCCCATCAGCATGGGGACAAAGTGCTTTGGGGGGGAGGGAGCCCTCCTGCCCCAAAGCACCCCGACATGTTAAGCGCATGTGGCCTGGTATGGTTCAGGAGGGGGGGGCGCTCGCTCGTCCCCCCCTTTTCCTGACCTGTCGGGCTGCATGCTTGGATAAGGGTCTGGTATGGATTTGGGGGGTCCCCCATGCCATTTTTTTTTAATTTTGGAGTGGGAGTTCCCCTCAGAATCCATACCAGACCCAAAGGGCTTGGTATGGATGGGAGGGGGGACCCCACAACGTTTTTTAAATGATTTTTTTAATTGCTGGCAATTCTTTTACATTCAGCTGTCAGTGGGGAAACCTGCTGACAGCTGAAACATTAACACATGGTTGTCATTACCAAATACCGCATGACTTGATAAAATAACTCATGCGGTATTTTAGTAGCATTTACTTTTTTCTGACCTCCAGAATGGATTAATTGGTTTTCAATGCATTCCTATGGGAAACGGCGTTTCGGTTTACGAATTTTTCGCAATATGAAAAGTCCTGCAGAACGAATTAAATTCCTAAACCGAGGTATTACTGTATTTACAGTGTATAAATAAGGTCTAGTTTGTTGTTCAGGTTTCTATTGCTGTTTCCTATTGTGGTCTGTGGTCCCCAGTGTATCATCCCAGCAGTAAAATATAGCATTGGTTGTAATCTTTCCAAACCAAAGTTTTTTGGCATGTTCCTATTGGAGAGATTTCCATTCTTGGTGACCATCATCACAGGGGCAGGATTGGAGTAGAAAGCCAATACAAAAACTGACAGAGGTTCTAGCCCTCTCTCTAGCCAAACAAAAACACGTTTTTTCTGGAGTTCCACTTTAACAGCCTTTCAGATTAACAGGCAGTCATTGAGTGAACACACAGAATCTTGGAGCACAGTGCATACTTGAGAAAATGTGTTCAATGGAATGTTATGATGAGAAATATTTTCCTAACCTGGGTTACAGACGTCAGTATACCTAAGTGAAATCTAATGAATTTATACAAACACTTACATAGGCACAGTTCCCGATATCCTTTGTAATAATCTTTAGAGGAATGATTTTTGGGTGGTCGTTTTCTTTCTCTTCCTTCATGTATCTAGTAAGCAAGAATAGAAGTAAAGGTTAAAATGGCTAAAGCTTAAAGGACTACTCCATTCCCAATACAAATTACCAGAACATATACTTAATACTGTATACACAAGACATTTTCTAATACAGTGTTATTTAAAGAGAGAAATAAGTTTTAATTTTATTCTTCAGTCAGCTATAATTTTTATTTTAAACTATTAACAGATTCCAGTTTTATTTTCTTTCAACTGCAGCAAAAGTATGTCTACAGCAGCCTTTTTCAACTTTTTTACCTTAGAGGAACCCTTGAAAGCATTTTCAGGTCTTGGGGAACCCCATAAAACCAAGTCATTGGAGGCCAGTGAAAAAATGCCCCTTATATTGGTGGTAGGTGGAAAGAATGCCCTCTTACAGAAAGCTAAAAAGATCATTGGTGTCATGGCACTGACTCTGCCAAGTGGCGTTGGCCTCCAAGCTATGCAGGCACCATCAAATGGAGGTCAATCAGCCACAGATCAAGGAACCCCTAGCAAACTCCTAGAGGAACACAAGGGTTCCATGGAATCGCGTTTGAGAATGGCTGGTCTATAGGATGCCCCAGAAATCTCATTCCCTGATGAAATGATTGGCTCACTGTTTTTCCTCTCCAGTTCAATAAAAAAAACCTCCCCATGCAAAAAGATTATTATGTATCTGTCCTGTCACTTATGCCTCGGATCTTTTCTCTCCTGTAGAGCTAAGCCAGCTGAACATGCTTCAGAATCTTAATTCCAAAAATACTGATCCCTCCCTGCATACTGTAGTTCAGCCTGTTGGCCACTACAGGCTACAGGGCACATGTAATGTAGGGGCAGGTGAATAGAACTGCAACACTCAGTGGGGGATCAGGCATCTTATACACCAAAATGTCAAGTACAGAGGGTCTTTTAGCTGTCCTAGCTCTTCAAAAGAACGAAAATCCAAGGCATCGGCAACAGGTCCTCTTCTTTTACAGAGAGTCCATTTTTTTAAAATTATTTATTTTTTTTTTTAATCGTGGCAACAGAGATGTAAGTGAAGAGGATGAATTATTTACTTTTAATGGCAGGGTGAGGGTGGTGAGGCTTTAGGGGGTGATACCCAGCATCCCCTCCTTTGTTATGAACCCCTGTGGATCTTTAAACTGGCCAAAACATGTAAGAGTGGATGCTAATGGAATGCTGGGGTTTTGACTATATATAAAATGTGCTCCTTTAAAGGAGTGCAGCTGTGAACCATCCGTTGTTGGCGACCAGAATTACATTAAATCTTGTGAGCTGATTACTGTTTGTTCACTTTAAGGTCAATTTTTGGGCATCTCCAGCAAGTCTGTAGGTTTGCTGTAGTTGGCCTTCTTGTATGGAGCTGTACAGGCCAAACATCTACAGAAGTGAGGGATGCAACTTTTTTCTCATAACAGTATTGAAAAAAATTAGGTAGTTACTTCAGTATAGAATCTTTCACTCAAAGCCCATTTCTAACTGGGTACCATTCAACTGGACCACAGAATGGTGAGTCTTTGGGGGTAGCACCAGGAGAAGATGAATATTGCAGCTAGAGCTGTGGGGTTTTTAATTTATTTATTTATGTTATTTGGGGGACAAAAAACATGGAATTGGGCTTTAACACTTAGTCTGAGATCTAAATGGCCTGTCTCAGTTACCTACAGTAGAGAATCAGATGACAATCGGAATTTACGATAATAATTGTAATGCAAATAAGAGACCTGGAAAGGATTCTTATTTTGACAGCAAATGTACAGTATATATTCCCTTTAAAAGCATAGTAATGGTGAAAATAACATCATAAATACAAAGATTAGGAATGGTAATGCAAGAAATAATAACTCATCCTGCTTAATCATTATATCAGATAAAGCAGCACGATATGCTTGCTGATTGGCTTATATGGGAGTCCAGCCAATCCCAGGTTTGGAGGCCCTGGTAGAGTGGTGGACTGGCCCATAAATATGAGAGAGTCAGGCTGTCAGAGACGTTGGGGGGAAGGTGGAGTGCTGAGGAGACTGTTGGTGTCTGGAAGGGGTCCCCTAGGCCTAGGGGGGCTGGCCTCCAGGCTGAGCTCAGGCTGGCTCAGGGGGACACATTTTGCAGTCATCTGAAGCAGCAGGGAGCAAAGAGGACAGAGTGAGTACAGCAGAACTCTCTGGGATCTACAAAGGGAAAGACTACCATGCGTAGCAAGCTTTCTAAGGACAGCGTTGGGCTTAATCCTTTATCCTTGTCCAAGGAGATCTTCCGAGAAGCCAGGAGGGCTGGTAGTGTTTGCAGGCTGTGGAGATGGGAGCAGCTCCACAGAGGGAGAGAAGACATCCACGCGTGTAGTTTTGAGAAGTTAAGCTGATTTTTGAGGGGCTGCTAGATCCTCACCCATAAAGGGCTGTTGTAACTGATCTTGATGGCTTTCAAGAAAAGAACAGTCCCCCTTTCATTGATTCAGGCCAACTGCACATCCCATAATCCCTATTTCCCTGTTGAAGTTGATTTCCCCCAATAAAAAATAAAACCAAGCACATGGACTGGTTACTGTCTCTTGGATGCAAGTCTGTGTGAGAAATACCTGTTGCCTAGCTGTGCGAAGAGAAGTTTAGGGGTACCCACAACACAGCGGCCCTCGCGAGGGTAGCGCTACAGCTACAATATCTCTTTTGGAAAGATCTGACACTTTAATTGTTGCTTACATTTTTTACAAGACCTAGTGGTGATAGCTCTGTACTTGCGTTCTAGAACTACTGCCTGTCAGAGCAGTTACATTTGGCTGATTTTTTTTTTTTTTGGTTGATTTTTTATACCGTTAATATTTATTATAATTATTATTATTATACAGGATTTATATAATGCCAACAGTCTGCACAGCTCTTTACACAATGAAGTGAGACAGTGCAGTTACAATATAAATCAAAACAAGAGTCTTCGGAGGATCCTGTTCATGAGAACCTACAAAGGCAAGTGATACAAAAGGTAGCAACTGCATGGGGATGAGTTGATCGGGAAAGTAAAAGTTCAGTCCTTGGGTGGAGACAGAATAGGCTTGTCTGAAGAGATGAGTTTTCAGGGTATAGCCCAAAGGCAGACAGAGTAGAATATATCTTGACAGACTGGGGAAGGTAATTCCAAAGGATATGAGAAGCTTTGGGAAAATCCTGGAATAGAGCATGGGAGGAGATGACAAGGAAGCTAAAGAGCAGGATGTCTTGGGAGAAGTGAATAGAACGGTTTGGGTGATATATGGATATGATGTTGGTGATGTAGCTCAGGGCAGAGTGCATGGCTTTGTATGTTGTTGTTAGTATTTTGAATTTTATTTGTTAGTCAAGCTGACTTGCAATAGTCAAGGCAAAAGATAACAAGGGAGTAATATTTTTTTTCTTTTATATTCATTTTGTTCCTTAATTAAAGTGAGTTTTAAAACAGCGTGCAAAATTAAAAACAGAACCACTTTTATTTATTTTGTAAAATACTTTACCATGATTTGTAATAGAAACAGGTATATCAAATGTGTGTGGGGCCAGAATCTGTTTACTATAACAAAAGCAGGAGCACCCAAAAGTGTGTAGAAGCACCCAAAATGACCAAAGGCAGGATGAGAGCCAATAGGTCCAGCATACAGATCTTTCTGCTGGAGGTTCTTAGAGATAACACAAGCCAGATGATGACGTAGTCATCCAGACTTGACTTATAACTTTAAGTATCACTTTTGGGCGCACTGTCCCTTCAATAAACATACAAACACTGTATAAAGATGCTTTCCTTTGTCCACTCTAAAAATAGAAAAGGTAGCAAAAAAAATGTAATTGTTGATTTGTTAACTGTTAGAAAAGTGATTACTTTCCATTTCAACGCCACAATAAAAAAGTGGATTTGAACTTTCCAGTCCAAACAGCACAAATTCCGCAGACTGAAAATAAAGCCAGGAAGACCACAGGAATCCAGCAGCAGCTGATCGTCCAGCTTGCATCTTCGTATCACAATAAAACCATCCATCATATTCTTGACAGTAACCATTTTTTTAAATGGAAATGATTTATACACGGTACAGTGGAAGGAAGCAGTTTGTATTACAAAAAAAATAATTAAGAAAAACAAAGTGCAGTATTATATGTTTAATGAGTGTCTGATGTTTTGAATCCAGCACTGACAGTGCAAAGTGTTATCACATGGCTAATTTACAACTGCATCCATCCAACCAGTGAGCAGCACTCAATTCTCACCTCTGTAAAAATACTCAAAAATGTCATGAAAGGCTCAGTCTATACAACCTGATATTTTATATTTTAGAACACACTGGAGAGTTGGGCCCCATTCACATCTATGTGTTTTAATGCATATCAGCTTGTATACATAGGCTAGCCTTTGCTTCAAATTGTTCTGGTTAACATTTTGGGTCCCTTGTTCATTTTTTGATGCATCCATGCATGTTATGGTGCCTATTGATGACAATGGCAGTGAAATCCATTCATTATTTTAAATATTGCACACAAAAAAACTTTAATATAGCCTAAAAGTGTAACTACACCTTTCATATTTTAGTCCTCCTTGTTTCGCAGCTCACCCAACTAGTCCTATACTCACTCACCCTGGAATTACAGAGATATTGCCAACAAGTCCAGGCTATTCAGAAAAGACAGGCTGAATTTTGATCTTTGTGTGGCCTTCCCTGTTCGACAGAAGTTGATTGTTAGCTCAACTTCTATCAAGCGGGCATGCTGAAAAACTTTCGGAGAGTCCCCATTGTCAGAATGGCACAATGGGAAGGATTCCTCCATCTACCTCAATTGTGTGAATGGAGGAATCAGTATGTTTTTTCATTCAGCCCACTGGCTGAACGAAAAAAAAAAAAAAAAACTAACAGTGCATACCCAGCTTTAGTCTTGAGTATGATCTTGTACTTGAAAAAGATAGGATTGTATGAGGGCATAAAGCACATGTGTGGTCTTAACCTGTAAGATTTTGATTGTGAGGCCTTGTCGGTAATAGGTACAGTTACTCTTGAAATATATTTTTTGGGGACTCTTGGCGAAATATCTGGTGGTGAAATTTAGGCTCTGCACACCTGCTGTGGTCATTATAAGGGTCTGTCAGATTTTTTAATCTTATTCTACATTATGGGGAAGGCATCAAAAGGAGCTTGAACATAAAAAGATGAGCAGGAACCTAACATTCTCAGAAAAATTGTTGGGAAATATGGCACTGAGTTCTCTCTGTTGGATGGGTCTCAGATATACAAAAAGACAGGGGCTGGCTCATCCAACAGGGCTACACCCATAACATGTCATCATGTTGGGTGTACTGACCCTTTAAGAGGAACCCTGGTCTAGTAATAGCACATGACATAAAGAAATCTTGGACTAGCCAAATGTATCCCCAGCAAATTGAAACTTACAGACAGACTGGTGGTGGTGGTAGAGTGGTTGGAAGTGTTAATAAAGTATTTGCATAGTATAGGTGCACTTTAAACAATAGGAAGGGAATTAAAGCACGGTGCTTCACATTGTACCAAAAACAACAAAAAATAACATAATTAAAAGAAGCAACCTACCTTTCAAGAAGCATAAACCATTTTTCTTTCTCCTCTGGAGTACTGCGAGATAAAAACAGAGAAAACCGTACATAATAAATGAAAACATTCTACAAGATACGTTCAGGGAATATATTACATTAATGCCTAACTCCAGGAAAACAGTTAGCTACTCCGCCAAGGCACATATTTCTAAACTGTTCTACCTGCCAAACAAATCTGTAACTCTCTTCAGCCAGTCTTGTGATTCAGAAACCACAGCCAGGTCAGTGACTTCAGTAAACTGAAACCATATACTAACTAGTAGTGGTAGGTTACCTAATTTAACACATCAACTCTGTTTTCACAATAACAAAAAATCCAAGACAGAGCCAATATAAATGAACAGAGGGGTTACAATAACAGACAGTACCAGTAGGGGATGAATATATACAGTATATAGTCTCAGTTATAGGACTATGGATGTATTGCCTAAATTTCTAACATAAATATGGTGAGGTTACGGGTTTATGAATGGACTTTTTGTTTTCTCAGTATCTGTCTGGGTCTTGAAGCCAGAAGGATTTGAAGAGATTTTGGCTGAATAAAGCCCCAATTTCTAGGTCCACATCATATCTGGTAGTCACACATCATTATTAGTCTCACAGACCTTTTTATATGGAAGCTGACTGATGCTCAGCACTCTGTCTTTCACATTGCTGTGCAAACCTGCTGCTGGGAGAAAAGATTTACTGCTGACAGAACACTAAAAAAGGTACATGTGGTGCCCATCAGAATCACTCACTTTGTAACAGGTTAGTGCCTTCTATGCTTTCGGGGATGTGGCCAGTTGGACAACTGAAAACCTTTTTATCACATCTGGTGGACATTCCCAGTGGCTCAACAATACTAGGCAGACATATTTTTTCTACCTGCTACCCTGGTGGCACACAGGATTCCTTGCAGAGCAAAGTATACTCACCGATGTGGTTCAAATCCTTACTGATGCCAAGCAGACAATCAATGAAGCATGGAAGATTTCCACTATTTAATGCAGCCAAAATCAGGACTAGATCATGCAGATCATTTTCATGAAACAATTTTGGCCAGGCTTTCTGACACAATGGAAAAATATTAATCTCCAAGTATACACATTTCATTCTTCAGGGACTAATGTGGGCCTCTAGGCCTTTAGATGCAGTCTGATCATGGCCATATCTAACAATTCCCTCCTTCTTACCCTTCCCTTAAGTACCTCTTGTGTAGCCCTATACCTCCACCATGGAATCTTGCAAGCTTTTTCTGGGAGGATCCCTGAGAGACCAACCACCATGACTTTTTTTTTGTTTAATTGTATTCCTTGCAATACCAATGATATGTACCTTTGTGTTCCTATGACCTGCCCCCTGGTTTGTCAGATTTTCTCTACCCTGAGCCTGGGTTCACATATGCGCGGTGTGGTATATCGCATGTGATTCGCACAGGAACCACACCACATTCCTGTGCAAATCGCATGCAATTTGTGTGCAGTGCGATTGGAGCCATACATTTTGTATGGCTCTATTTTTCCGCACCCGTACCAAAAATGTGCAGGACCCTTTTTTGGGTCAGCACTAGAATCGGATCGCATTGGTATTCACACCTATGCGATCTGATTCTGCACATCGCACCACGTTTTGCAGTCCGCTTTCGGGGTGTTGTTAATTTAACAAACACACCTGCAGCGGTTCAAATGAACGGGGTGCGGTTCTGATGCGGTGCGGAATTCGCACTGAAAATACTGCAAATTCCGCACCTCATCAGTGTGAACCAGGGCTAAATGTTATGTTTGTACAGGAAAGCAAACCAAAACATAATAAAAACCACTGAACCATAAAAAGGATAAAAAGGTACATGCCCTGCCTGTTTTGGGGAACCCATTATTCGCCACACTGTTAGTCAGGATCTAAAGCAAATTTTTTAGTAGCTCTGCTACGAAACGGTGTTTGTTGGAGCCTGGCTTAATAAAAGTGAAGAATACATCTGCTTGTACTGTTCCTGGTTGTCCCTGTCTCAAGCATGGTTTACCACTGTCAATTCTAGTTTAGCCTGTTGTGTGTATGTACAGTTGTGTTCAAAATAATAGCAGTCAGACATCACTATCCTGATCAATCACTGTTTTTGGTAGAAATTATATTTCTACATGGCAAATAATTTACTAGCAGGTGTAGTAGAGTAATAGAAATCCAACAGACCCAACAGTCATGACATGCATGCTGCTGATTCTGTGTAATTGAATCACTAATTGAAAGGGGCATGTTCAAAATAATAGCAGTGTAGAGTTCTATTAGTGAGGTCATTCATTCTTTCAAAAAATAGGTGGCAGTTATTGCCCTTATTTAAGGAAGGAAGGCAGCAAATGTTGTACATGCTGGTTACAGTGCATTTCTCTGTGAAATTCTGAGGAAAATGGGTCGTTGCAGACATTGTTCAGAAGAACAGCGTACCTTGATTAAAAAGTTGATTGGAGAGGGGAAAACATATAAAGAAGTGCAGAAAATGATAGGCTGCTCAGCTAAAATGATCGCAAATGCTTTAAAATGGCAACCAAAATCTGAAAGATGTGGAAGAAAGCGAAAAACTACCATTCGAATGGATAGAAGAATAGCCAAAATGGCAAGGACTCAGCCAACAATCAGCTCCAGGAAGATGAAAGAAGGTTAAAGTTTACCTGTGAGTGCTGTTACAATTAGAAGACGCGTATGTGAAGCCAAGCTATCTGCAAGAAGCCCCCCCAAAGTCCCACTGTTGAAAAAAAGACATGTGCTGAAGAGGTTACAATTTGCCAAAGAGCATATTGACTGGCCTAAAGAGAAATCGCGCGCAACATTTTGTGGACTGATGAAAGTAAGATTGTTTCTTTTTGGGTCTAGTGGCCAGAGACAGTTTGTCAGACGACCCCCAAACACTGAATTCAAGCCACAGTACACACTGTAAGACAGTGAAACATCATGATATGGGGATGTTTCTCATACTACTACGGTGTTGGGCCCATTTATTGCATTACCAGGGATCATGGATCAGTTTGAATACATAAGAATACTTGAAGAGTTTATGCCTGCTTTATGCTGAAGAGGAAATGACCCTTGAAATGAGTGTTCCAACAAGACAACGACCCCAAACACAACCAGTAAACGTGCAACATCTTGGTTCCAGACCAACAAAGATTTTGATGTTATGGAGTGGCCAGCCCCAATCCCCAGATCTTAATCCAATAGAAAACTTGTGGGGTGACATCAAAAAATGCAGTTTCTGAGGCAAAACCAAGAAATAGAGAAGAACTGTGGAATGTAGTCCAATCATCCTGGCTGGAATACCTGTTCACAGGTGCCAGAAGTTGGTTGACTCCATGCAACACAGATGTACAGCAGTTTCTCAGAAACAGTGCTTATACAACTAAATATTAATTAAGTGATTCAAAGGAAAGCAAAATCTTCAAACATTTTTCAGTTTATATAGTGAATGTTTGAGTTTGTTAAAGAAGAATACAAACACTGCTATTTTTTTGAACAGTCTATATTCAACTTTATTTCAATTTTTTTAGAGGAACAACACAAATTTGATATATTTTTCTTCATGTTTTGATTTGGAATAGAATGTGTATGTTCCCAATGCATTTGTGTGTATGGAAAATAAAAGCTATTAGAAGGATTTTGAGCTTTATTCACTTTTTTCAACACACTGCTATTATTTTTTGAACACAACTGTATATATATATAATATATATAAATATATCCATACACTGTATTACACTGCTAATTGGAAGCCTGTGCAGCACTGCTGAAGCACACTCTAAAACCAACAGCATTACTGGAAGGAGATCAGTGCTCTCCACGGTGTTATTTAAGGAAACAATGTACTCCTGCCAGTTTTTCCAGCAACCAGAACAGACTCTTGATAAAACATTTGGATTTTGTCACATATGTTCCTAAGCAGGTGTACTCTGCAATCAATCTCCAACTGAAACTGCAAATGAAAACATATTGGGAGAATTGTATTATGATGTTATGTCAGTGAATGGTGTACGTGGCTACAACACTATTTTAACTTTCAAAAGTGTGGCTTAAATAGACTCTGTAGTAGCCATCTGTTTGATCTTTGATGTGGTTGTTCCAGTAATTGTGTTGAAGATCATTACAGAGGAAATTTCACTTTTGAGTATTTCACTGGCAGGTAGCCTGTAAACTTTAGAGAGAACCTTAATGAGTTCAAAGCAACCTCTGAGTTTCAAAATAAATGGCAAGTTAAGGTCACTGACTTTCCATCCATTCCAGTACTGAGGGTACTGGGCATTTGAAACGTCTGGAAGTCTGTTCCCCACCACATGTTATGGCTTCTTCCTCCAACCCTATGTCACTACTGAGTCCTGTAGTGATGTAAGGTCACAGGCCAAAGATACTTTTGGAGGTTAAATCCATTTTAAATCTGACATAGTTTGCTTAAGCATGAATCTTACTTGTTATTATAGTCCATAAAAATATATGACACAAGTTTACTTCTGCAAAATGTATATTTGCTCCCTTATTTAGTTTTAACCTATTTTGTCTGACTTTACAACTTAAAAAAGTCAAGGATCAAAGGCCACCTGGGATATAACAGTTTGGTGTCGTATTTACTGCCCAAGCATATAAAAGACCTCCTAGATACTTGGTGCATATACGATTTTCTGCGCTAAGCCAATAGTTTGCTGTACCTCTGATGCTCATCTGGCTATGTGGTCTCATCTCTTCCAGTTTAGAGGTATACAGGGCAGAGCAGTTTTGCAAAAGCAAAAATCTCTCAAAAGTGGAGTGAAAATCCCATCCTGGATTATTATCACCAAAAACAGATGTCACTATTGAAAAAACGTCCCCTCACTAGGGGACTAGAAAAACATTGGTTGAAATTGAAGTACAAGCCCATGTATTGTTGGCCTAAAACAGTGGTAAGTTGCCTCTTGTGTTTAATTTGCTGAAGGGTCTTGTCTCAGGGATCTGAACAAACTGTGTTGACTATAGGAGCCAGCTACCACCCCAGTCTGTATTATTTAATAATTGTAAATAAAA